TCTGTCACTATGAAGCCAAAAAAACTACCAGGGACTAGTCAAGAGCAAAGCAACTTCCCTCGCTCCCACCCTGCCCCCCAACTGCTCCCAGTTCGTGCAACTAAGCAACAAACAAAGGATCTATAAGAGATGTAAAGCTCTTGCCACTCTCCCCATACTTCACCTCTATATAATTTTTATGCACAACATCAATAAAAAACGCTTTTATAGGGGTGAAAGGATTAAAAACCGATATAATTAATCAAAGACTGATGCAGTTTGTCAAGGCAAATTTACAATTAGGAAAAAATCAATACTTCTTCACTTTTTGGTTCACACCGAGCAAGTTCTATAACTATTTACTAGTATAAATATTTAATATATAAAAGGCTTTATAGTGGGCCACTGATGATCCTTTTCACCATTCTGCCAGTTCAACCAGGCAATCCATATCGACAAGGATTGGTTCACAAAAAACAGTTCAGCAACAACAGCATGAGTTTCCAGAACACCGTTCCTCGCAAGCAATTGAATAACTAGTTAATTTATAAAGGTAAAATTCTCTATAGCTTAATAAGTTCCCAATTTGCACAAGAACGAAAATACGGGTTTCTTTCAAAAAATTATAAACCAGTGTAAAAAAATAAGGATTTCAGTACACTAGTACAGAAAAACCTCAAAATAACCTTAAAAAGGGTTCGTTTCACATAAAAGGCATGAGAAGTCCCCTAACCTCATAACTATACAAGTTTTGCTCAATAATAACACCAGCAAACATAACTCGAAATCATGAACAAGACCATCGATGAATTAAAGAAACCCTTATTGAATAACTAGTGAATTTATAAAGGTAAAATTCTCTGTAGCTTAATAAGTTCCCAATTTGTACAAGAACGAAAATAAGGGTTTCTTTCAAAAAATTATAAACCAGTGTAAAAAAATAAGGATTTCAGTACACTAGTACGGAAAAACCTCAAAATAACCTTAAAAAGGGTTCGTTTCACATAAAAGGCATGAGCAGTCCCCTAACCTCATAACTATACAAGTTTTGCTCAATAATAACACCAGCAAATTGGTTTTTCCTTGCACAGGTCCTGAACTGCAGAAATTAGTTTTTCCTTGTTGCTTTCGCTTTTGATTGCGAATCAATAAATCCACATTACATCCATCACAACACAGGTTTTCTTTATGACCTCAATCCTCTCTTCTTCCATAGCCCCCAAATTATATATATAGAGAGAGAGAAACCGAGGGCAAAGGCTAGAGAGGGAGAGAGCGAGAAACAAAGAGAGAGAGACAGATAGACCGAGAGTGAAAGAGAACCTGTGAGGATGTGGCGGCGGCGGTGGCGCTAGCAGTGGCGTACGACGCTGGTTAGCGATGAGAGTGAGATTGGGTGAGGATCCCACAGAAATGAGGAGTCCATTAGACAGAGGGCGATGGCGATGTGCGACGGATGTAAGCAATGGTGGTGAGGGACTTCGGTGAGCTAGAGAGAGTGGGCACCGATTGAGAGAGAGAATGCAGAGAGAGGGAGAGGGCGGATCAACATATAGAGAGACACAGAGAGCGAGCTGGAGACAGAGGAGAGACGGGATTAGAAATGGCGACCAAATTTTTTAGAGAGGGTGGGTACAAAACGACGTCGTTTTATAAATGGCGACCAAATTTTTTTTTTGTCGCAAAAAATTTTCATTTCCCCCTCCATGTTTCAAATTTCCCTCCCAAACTTTTCGCGACCAAATGACCAGATTAGTCGCAGAAAAGGTATCTTCACCGACAAATTTTTTTAGTCGCCAAATCTCAATCAACGGTGACTAAAATATTAGTCGCTAAAAGTACTAATTTGGCGACTAAATTTTTTTGGTCGCCAAAATGTAACCTTCTGCGACCAAATTTGAAGTTGGTCGCCAAAAGCATACCAATTTCTGCGACTAACTCATTTTTGGTCGCCAAAATGTGACCTTTTGCGACCAACTCATTTTGGTCGCCAAAAATAATTATCATTCGCGACTAATTAATATTTTGGTCGGCAAATGTCATTTTTTCGCGACCAAATTTTTTTGGTCGGCAAAAGTAGTCGCAAAATGTGTAAATTCTTGTAGTGTTTCCTTTTCTTTTTTTTTGATTTTTTTTTAATCTTTCTCTGTCTTAAATATAAATTCCCCAAATACCTCCTTTTACAGGGGTGCAGGGTAGGCTGGACCATTCCCTAAACAGAAGTTTATGTCTAATTGCCACTTAACAAATAAACACATTTATTCCCATAATCTTGCATGGTGGTAACTAACGAAGCCAAATTCTCACTTATCCATATTTTAAAACAGTTCTTTTACCAAACAATTGAATATAATTTAAGACTTATTAAATATATATACATATATATATATAAGAACCGCTTAACTATTTGAGATTCGCCTTTTCTTTTTGATTTTGTTATTTCATTTTGAATAATTTCATAATGGTGGTCTATATTGAGTGAAGGTTTTTTCATAATTACGCAAACATTCTTGATCAATTATACAACAGGTTTTTTCATAATTACGAGAACATTCTTGGTCAATCATGAAACATATTTTTTCGTAATTACGCAAATAATCTTAGTCAATTATGAAACATAAATCTTTTTCTTTTTAACAAAATACTAGAAATTACAACTACTGTTTGTTATAAATTTTCATTTAGCACAATACTCAGGGGAAAAAAAAAAAAATTCTCCTATGTCATAATAAATTATCAAAATTGTTTATTAAAAATTATTTCATATCATTAAAAACTATTAATTGACTTAATGATTTATTTATTAACAAAATGGTTAACTGAAAAATATTTTTCATATCATTACAAATTGTTAATTTAGTTAATGATTTACTTATTAATAAAATTGGTCATTCGTTATGCGATTATGATTTATGTATTAATAAAATTCGTTATATATATATATATATGTATTTTCCTTTGCTTCTTTATTAATTCAGTGAATTATCTTAGTAGTTTTTTTATATGAGAGAATTATTTTAATATTTGTTTTATATTTGTTTGTTGAGAAAAACTATACACCATAATTTTATTTTATTTTACAAATTCGGAAGCAATGTTAAAGACTTATAAATTCACCCAAAATGATATGATAATAAAATTAGAGTTTACATTATGCATGTATAACAAATCAAAAATGATACATATAATACCACATAATTCTATTATATATCTAATAATTTATTCTATTTAATTTTATAAAATAATATTTTAATTTTTAAGAAATTATAAAAATACAAAATTTAAAAAAAATATTTTAAAACATTAATAAATTTATAAAAATACAAAAAATATATTGAATTCTTGTATTTTTTTAAATTTTTTGTATTGAGTGAATTTTTAAAAAGTTTTTTTCATAAATTTTTTACTTTTTAAGTATATTTGTGTTAGGTATGTCTAAAGAGTTTTAAAAAAAATTGCTTGAAATATTTTAAAAATTCAGTAAAAACAAAAAACACGAAAAATAAAAAAAAAAAATTTTCTGAAAAGTGTTTTTGGAAAATTGTAACCAAGCAAAGTGATTGTTATTCTAATGTAAAAATTAGATTTATTTTTTAAATTTAATGATGTAATAATTAATTATTATTATTTTTTTTTTGTATGTCTTCTCTAATTATTAATTAATTATCATTAAGTTTAAAAAACGTGTCTGAAAAATAAACTTGTATGATCTTTCTTTTCACTACAAGAATTAACACTTTTGGCAACAAAAAAATTGGTCGCTAAAAGTCAATTTTTGGTCGGCAAAAGTTATCCGCGACCAATTTGCAGGGTAGGCTGGACCATTCCCTAAACAGAAGTTTATGTCTAATTGCCACTTAACAAATAAACACATTTATTCCCATAATCTTGCATGGTGGTAACTAACGAAGCCAAATTCTCACTTATCCATATTTTAAAACAGTTCTTTTACCAAACAATTGAATATAATTTAAGACTTATTAAATATATATATATATATAAGAACCGCTTAACTATTTGAGATTCGTCTTTTTTTTTTGATTTTGTTATTTCATTTTGAATAATTTCATAATGGTGGTCTATATTGAGTGAAGGTTTTTTCATAATTACGCAAACATTCTTGATCAATTATACAACAGGTTTTTTCATAATTACGAGAACATTCTTGGTCAATCATGAAACATATTTTTTCGTAATTACGCAAATAATCTTAGTCAATTATGAAACATAAATCTTTTTCTTTTTAACAAAATACTAGAAATTACAACTACTGTTTGTTATAAATTTTCATTTAGCACAATACTCAGGGGAAAAAAAAAAAAATTCTCCTATGTCATAATAAATTATCAAAATTGTTTATTAAAAATTATTTCATATCATTAAAAACTATTAATTGACTTAATGATTTATTTATTAACAAAATGGTTAACTGAAAAATATTTTTCATATCATTACAAATTGTTAATTTAGTTAATGATTTACTTATTAATAAAATTGGTCATTCGTTATGCGATTATGATTTATGTATTAATAAAATTCGTTATATATATATATATATGTATTTTCCTTTGCTTCTTTATTAATTCAGTGAATTATCTTAGTAGTTTTTTTATATGAGAGAATTATTTTAATATTTGTTTTATATTTGTTTGTTGAGAAAAACTATACACCATAATTTAATTTTATTTTACAAATTCGGAAGCAATGTTAAAGACTTATAAATTCACCTAAAATGATATGATAATAAAATTGAAGTTTACATTATATATGTATAACAAATCAAAAAATGATACATATAATACCACATAATTCTATTATATATCTAATAATTTATTCTATTTAATTTTATAAAATAATATTTTAATTTTTAAGAAATTATAAAAATACAAAATTTAAATATACTGTAATAATAACTTTTTCTTAAACTAGTATATATATATATATATATATTCAATTTGCTACACCAAATCCAGAGATTTCATATTAATGATCATACCTATCTTATCTTCACCTTCCAACATATCACAAAACCATTATATATACCTCCCCATGCACTTGAACAACTCAACAACTCAAAGTAATTCTGTGAAGTATTGGAGAGAGAGAGAGAGAGAGAGAGAGAGAGGGAATGGAGGCGAGCAACCGTGCGCGCAAAGGGTTCACCAAAGGGAAGCTGGTGATGTCCTTCTATCAAGCAGCCAAGCCGCAGTCTACTTCCTCAACCGTCCAATACAATAATAGCAGCAGCAGCAGCAGCAGCAGCAACAGCAACAGCGGAGTGGTCATCAACCACGACAAGTACGTAGCTGCTCAACCGAGGTTGCACAAAGTTTCGGAGATTAGTGGCCTTGACGACTCCTCGTGTACTACTACTACCTTTGAAAACAACCACCACTACGGTGTAGTCGCTGGAGATGAAAGTGTTGATTTGAAGGCTGCGAGTTATATCTCTTGCGTTCAGGAACGTTTCAGACTTGATTGGGTCAACTCAGAACGTAAGATGACTCAGGAAATGCAATACTAGATAGCTAGATTGATATCATACGTACCTACCAAGTCCATGTCCACCCTAGGCACACTGTAACTGTATTCCTATTGCTAGTATTAAGTTATAATATAATTTTAGCGTTGGTATTACATGTACCGATTAATGTACATACTAGTATACCAACTAGTCTTTTGTTATTATTATTGACCTTACCTATTATACAAATTATAAATATTCAAAACTTCTAAAATTATATCACATCATCTGTTAATATACTAGTTAATACATTAATTGATAGATATAACATTATTCTAATTTTAGTCCCCTCCCTCTCTCTCTTTCTCTCTCTCTCTCCAAGGTAGCCATTATAAATGTTTAGGGTTTGTAAATGTATTAATTTGTCTTTGTTGTATATGTGTGGTGCATGTACCATGTCCATGTCTTACTAGCTAGATTATGGTTGTTGAATCTTTCTCATTTGATCGATCCATCACTTTTTTTATTCAATTCTTCTACGTATATTAGACATAACTATCTCATATAATTGACATTTACACATTTAACAAGTCTTATCTTATATGAAATGATTGTGTCCAATTAATCGTGTTTGTGTTCTTAAAAATTTCTTTTTATGTAATTAAGTATTTTATTGACAAATTTCTAGGAGTATTGGTTCAAAAAATTTCAAAATCATTATATATATTCTTTATATCACACTCTCATAAAGATTGAATAATTATTTCGAACTTGTTATTGAGTGCTCTTTAAGATATGTGTTAAAAAAAAAAAAAAATCATATAACTCACTCATTCTCTAAATTATCAAGTCGTGTGTTGTAGGCATGTCTAAATACCCATATTGTACAAGCAATATTGATTCATATATTTTCAGGTGACAAAAATGGTGCCTGAACTAAGATAGCATATGAAGCTAAGAGGGGTTAAGCTTTTCCCCTATTGATCTTCCTTTCAAATGACGATCAAACCCACAAATTAAACCCCTATTCTTGAGGGGACCTGCTGATTTCATCAGGTTGGTTTTACCCTTGATTCATCAGTTCCTTTCTTATATTAATATTAGGGGTCCTTGTAAAAAAATTCAAGGCTCATTATCTTCGGGGTAGTTTGGGTAAATTTTACTTTTATTTTTATTTTTAATACAGATAATATATATAGAGCTAAGAAATCAAGGGGTTCTAATCTAGTCAGCATCACATTTGACCACCAAGTCTCTCCTTATGAGAGATTTTGGTTCCGCTCTTAAGAGTAGAATAGGAAGGTAAGATTTTCTTGGATTTGGGGTGGTTGCTGTGCGGAGGGCATAGTAGCCACTGTTGTGCACCTAAATATATACCAACAACCCCAAATCTGACTTTCTTACAAAGTGTATGGATATGAGTTTCAATTCTCCTAACTAGTCTAACAACTAATTACTAATTTTCGCCGATCAAAAAAAAATATATATATACATATACAGCTAGGAACCCACTAAAGATTTGTAATGTCCCAAATGGTTCTAGTGATGTTCCATATAGAAGAATATTACTCCCTTTATAATGGAATCTATCTTTTTTTTTTCCTCTTTTGTTTTTTAATCGGTCAAAGTGAAAGGTTAGTTGTTAGATTAAGATTTTAGGAGAGCATAAATTCATACCTATATATTTTTTAAGAAAATCTTACCTTATCCTTTCATTCCTAAAAGTGGAATCCTAAATCTCTCTTAAGAGAGATTTACTGGCTAAAGAACTAACCAACTACATAGTTATATTAGAATCTATCCTTAGTTATATTAGAATCTATCCTTAAGTTTCTCCTTACTATCTCCCAAGCTATACACTCTAATGGAGTGTTTTGAAAAGATGATTAAAAGTTAACTTTTTTTACTTTTTTCATTATTTCATGTGAGAAGTGATGTGACTCAAAATGGATTAAAAGTTGACTTTTGACTTTTTTGGCATGTTGCCAAAACAGCCCAATATGAATTAAAAAATAATAATATCATTAAGAGAATTCTATTATACACATTTTTTTATCATATGTACTTTTAATTATGTCATTTTATTATTTAGTTATGACATTATTTTAAAATCTTTAGTTATACCTCATTTGTTTTTTGTTATGATTCTTTTGTTTTTTAGTTATGACTCAAAAAATATACAATTAGTTATTTTTTTCTATAGTTATAAGGTGTATATGGTATATAATACCCTTTGAGAGGTGTGTACCATAATTTTCCTAAATCATTAAATCCATCACATAATCTGATAAATTTTAAATTTTGACGGGAAAGTACAACCATGTGATGATGCATTGCCTTCGTTTGGCTTATTGGTTGGATTGACTTTTTGCCTAAAATAGTTACAAAAAGATAAAGTAAGTGTTTGGCATGTACTAAAAAAGTGTATTTTTTTTTACATACATACACTTAGGCCAAGTTTGGCATACCTCAAATAATCCATCTTTTTATCTTTTTATCTTTTTTCCATCACATCACCTCTCTACTTTTCTGCACATCTTTTCGTAAAAAGATCAAAAGTGCACTTATTTAGGTCATCCCAAACAACCCCTTAAATCACATCAATCAACATCTATCAACATCTCCTCTCTATTTTTCTAACTACTTTTTCTACTTTTCTGCACATTTTTTTTTTTTATAAAAAGTTAAAAAGTGCACTTATTTAGAACATCCCAAACCACTCCAAAATATGTTAAAAAGTCAGTTAGACAAAATATCACATCTAAACCATAATCATTTCATTTTCTCTCACAAAAGTCAAAAAAATCAAAAAATTCATCATAAACAAAAAAATTTAGTCCCAAACTTTTTTTAAAGTTAAAAAACCAATCAACATTCCAAACGAAACCTTGTGTGATAGTGTTGTCTCCACAATAGTTACTATTAAAACATCTCTAAGAAAAATCTTAAAAACGTATGGTAGAATATCTTGAAATGTACATGTAAAATAAAATAGAAATTAATTTTAGGAAAATGTCTCGTAGCTCAAATTTTGTGGCTCAAAAGTGGCTCAAATGGCCAAAACGACGTCGTTTTGGCCATTTTTATATTGTTCTGTACTCAAAACGACGTCATTTTGGCCATTTGAACCACTTTTGAGCCACAAAGTTTGAGCTACGTAACATTGTCGTTAATTTTATGTGTTTAAAATTTGTTAATTTTGTGAGTAAATGAGTGTTTCATAAAGATGTTGAAGTGTGTGTCATTACTTGGAGATATTTTTGCCCTGTCAATCGGGCTGTCAAAAAAATAAATATTGAGTATATTTAATAATATTCACTATCATAATATAAGAAAATTTATTGATTAATAATATCACTATTATAATTAATATTTTGTCTTACTTTAGATGCCATCAATCGAGCTTGAATAAGAAAAGGCAAAAACGTATATCAGAACGGGATGGGCCTTGAATAACAATAAAACATTTATCCTGGTATCTTGGGCCTGTAGTAGAATCTTCCGAAGTGCCCAAATGACAATGAGCATCCATTTGCTTAAAATTTTAATCCTGGTATTATACCCTAAAATTTTAAAAATCATAATCCTATTAATCGTTTTGTTTCTAAAGTTTTATATTATTCAATTGATAACACATTATTAACAAATATGAAGACAATTACATCAAATTAAATATTCATAATCCAACGACTCATATCTAGAAGAGACAACTTTTCATAATTGTAGTAAAGAAACTTTGCGTATACCATTGATTGGGCTTTTGGATTTTGTTCAATCTAAAATTAATTCTGTAAAAACTTTTACCCATTTAGTACACAAGCAAATCAACTTATTTTATTTAAAAGTTCAATGAGTTCGTGACCAGAAAGAGAGGAAATAATCTAAGATTGTTTTTAAATCTTGAATTTGAGTTATTTTTAATGAAGTCCTATTAACACATGTTTGAAAGGGCTACAAAAGAAATTTCATAAGAAAAATAAGGCTTATTGAGAATTTTCTCAAAGTTAATGTAATGCACAACAAAAAAATCGGATTTGGGGTGCACAGCAGCCACTGTTGTACAGTTAAATGGGTCAATTTCGAGGCCTATTTTGATAATCCGAACCATTCACGTTTTAGAATACATCAAGTAGAACATACCTGCAAAAAAATTAACTTAATCGGATATCGTTTACTCTTTCATCCACTCACATTTATATTCATTTTAATACTTTAAATCACAATTGTTATTTATTTGGATGAAAGAGTAAACGATATCCGATTAACTTGATTTTTTTCAGATATGTTCTACTTGATATATTCTAAAATGTGAACGGTTCGGATTATCGAAATAGACCTGAAATAGATCCATTTAGTTGTACAACAATAACTACTGTACACCCCCACAACCGCCACCCAAGTGCAAAACCCGTGCAGGAAATGTTATTTAATTTTTTAATTGTAGCACTTTTCAAATAGACTGGTCAGATCAATTCATTTTTATTAAAATTAATATAATTTGCTTACCCAGTTATTTATATTCAATTGATTTAATTTTTTCACTCACAAATTTTTATGCAATTGACCAAACTCATTAATCTTTTCAAATTTTTTTTAAATAAAAAAAGTCAAAAAAAAATTTAAAAAAAAATTTCTAAACAACCACAAAAAATAAATTTGTTGGCACATTATTTTAGTGGGTAAACAATATACTGTACAAAATATAATTGATCCAAATATACACCCTATGTCTAAAATGTATAGTCATCCCATCCAAATTGGTTCACTATTCTACACCACAAATGCTAGAGGCTCGTAATTTAAATTTGGATAAATTATGTGAATAGTTCTTATATTTTAATTCTTGTGTCATTATGAATTTATAATTTTATCTTAATTTAATCCAATTAATTACAATTGTTAACATTTTTTAATAGAAAATAAGCTCGTAAGTGGCATATATAATGTTGTTAGAGGTAAAAGAAAAAACATACTCAATTTAGTGAGTTAATCTCAATCAATTTAGTGATAATTTTTTGTCGAAAACACTAACAGTAATATTAATTTGACCAAATTGATACAAAATCTAAAATTAAATGTCAAAATTGAGACATTTGAAAGTTCAAGACAAAAATATAGAGACTATCATTGTAATTTGTCCTTTAAATTTTATACTCACTTATGATGACATGATAAAATAATTAAGCTTTGTGTGATAGAGTAGGTGTTTGGTATGTGAGTTTTTTTGTAGGTTTTTTTAATTGTAGGATATTATTAGAGAAAAAAAATTTATGTTTAGGAAGATAGTTAGATTTTTCTGTGGTTGGATGTGATGTTTATGAGAAAAAAAAGTAAAATTATTATAGAGTTTGATGTGATATTTTGTTTGGATTTATTTTTTTGATTTTGTAACCAATTTGTCTTTTAGTGAAAAAAATAAAAATAAAAAAAAAACCCAAAAAATTTGTTCCCAAACACCACCAGAATATATAATAAATCAAAAATTGATATATAATTTATTATTTCAATAGGAGTATAAATGAGTATAAAATTATTATTAATCAATCAATCAATCATTTTTTCTCTCTCATATCTCTTCTTACATTCTATACATCAATTAATAAAAAAAAAGTACAAATCATTTCAAAACTATTTTCAAAACTCATAATCAAATAAATTCTCTCTTTTCAAATTATGATTTAAAATTTAAAATATAGCTTCACACTCAAATTATAATTCTAAATTAAACTATCCAACCTATGATTTTTGGGGTATTTTTTTTAAGGTCCCTGATATTATGATTTTATAGTAGAAAGGACATCAAATATTTTCATGATGTCTAAGGTCCCTCAACATCAATCCAGAGAAAATTGGTCCAGAGAAAATTGATCCAGAGAAAATTCAAGTCAGAGAAAATTGGTCCAGAGAAATTCTCGGAAGAATTTCTCTGGACTCTGAACTTTCCTAAACTTCCCACTGTAAATTTCTCTGCCCTTTTTTTTTTTTGAACATAAGAATTCCCCTTCCTCAACTCACTTCCTTGCTTCTCAAAGGTGAAGAAGAAAGGCAACAATACAATATTATATACATACTTTCTATTATCAGAAGAATTCCCATTGAAGATGGAACTTCATTTACTGTGAACAGCCGAATCCAGACCAGGTATCTCACTCCCTAGATTCCCAACATCGAAGACTTCAGGTGGAAGAGCTGAAAAACCTTCCTCCATTAAAGATGGAACTTCATCAGGAGAAGAAACTGGTAGAGATACCAATCCTTGCTCAAGCTGGTCCATGCATATGAATATATTTTTCAAATCCAACACTGCAGAGAGAGAGAGAATTGATCAGAAGCTTGCTGCCATGCTTGCGCGTGGTGTTGAGGTTGGTGTTGAACTGAATTTTCTCTGGGTTGAAACCAGAGAAATTCTCTGGATCAACCCAGAGAAATTCCTGGGAGGACTCTTTTCTTGAATCACTGACCAACAACATAACTAGACCAGTACCATGGAAATCCTTTAAAACTAATCCTTTAGAAGTTGAGAGCAAAGCCCTTGTTGCAGTGAAGGAAAATTCTAGAACTCAAATCCAGAGAAAATCCCCCCCAAACCCAGAGAAATTCACTCAAACTCAGAGAAAATCTCACTCTAACCCAGAGAAAATTGCCAAATCCAGAGAAATTCAACACTGTCAGCACAATAATATAATAAAGGCGTGTGTGTGCACAATTATAGTATATTAAAGTAACAACAATGATTCATCCCCCCTTTTTCTCCCATCCCCTTTGACCCCCTCTCTCTCTCATTGGTTACATTTTCTTTTTCTTTTTCTTTTTTTTCCTGCTCCTTCAATCACCACCCGCCACGTGGCAAAGGGGGTGAGGGGGTGACCCCCAAAAGGGGGTCCCAAGCATTATTCTTAAAGTAAAGGAAAGAAAGCCTGACAAAGTGACAATCGAAAAGACAGTTTGATGGGTTTTGAATCTTTTG